GAAGGAAGGAAGGAAGGAAGGAAGGAAGGAAGGAAGGAAAGAAGGAAGGAAGGAAGAAAGGAGATGGAAGGATGGAGATATTAGAGTACATATAAACATATTAGTCTAATTATGGAGGAAATAATTGTGATTAACAAGTTTCAGTCCATTGACATTCAAGCAATATCATGATTGTGAAAACACATTACTGATCCTCTCAGCAAACTCTTTTTTTTCCCTCTGGAAAATACCTTGCATTTATTGAACATTAATGGTGTAYGCATGTAGTTTTGTGTAGAAAAATGGCTTATACACAAGCATAGATACCTTCCCTGAATTAAGTTGGATCTAGTAAAGAAAAACTTTCATCCTGTCAGCAGATAGATAAATTCTGTTTGATAACATCTTTCTACATTTGTCCTTCCACTGCAATACACTTTCAAGCAATGGCTKGAGGGCATTCTGATTTTGCTCATTCCCAACACGCTGATAACTCCTCCCAGACAACTTGATATGAGCAGGTTAATGTTAAAATCCATTATTAGAMCCAGAGTCTATTATCCTGATCTCCTACACAATGACTATCTGAAGACTGAAGGAGAAAGCAAAAAACACAGACTAATTGGAGTAATATAGTTCAAGCTAAAACTAGAACTCATGGACATCTCCAGGAAGCATGGAGAGATCATACCTCAGATATGATCATCATTCCACAGATAGGATCTATGATTTTGGTCAGCAATCACAAGTCTTCTCAAAACACAGGGGCCACATTGTAAAAGTTGAACTTTGTCAATTTTTCAGGAGGAAGGGAAGAAGCACTGACTGGAGATGAAATTGTAAAAGGGCCATACTTCATAAGGCCTAATRAATAGAGTACTTGACAAAAAAGAGAGGAGTACCTTTCTTCTGAAGGCTGCATAAAATAGTCCTGAAAGACTTATTCCTCTTAGAGATCTTGGTATATCTATCTGTGTAGACTGTTGTACAAATAGGTAAATCTGTGAGTAATGTTTTAAATGCCCTTGACTATCTGAAATACCTGCATGACACAAGCGTAGGAATGACAAACTGTTTAGAAAAGATCAGCATCCTTCAGATGGGGMAAGATTGAGGGCTCTGTGACAGGGGATGAGGCAGGATCATCTACATCATCTAAGAGGACTTGAACACACCTGTTATGGGAGCTGAATGCAACTCATCTTATAAAAGTCTCTCAGTTTTGTTAAAAACTTCATATCTGAATAAATCTCTTAGAAACTGGGAGTAAATGACTATTACAATTTGTCATTACACTTGCTGTATTACTAAATTTCTTGAGTTTTGGCTTCAAGCATTTTTTTTTTTCAGTTTTTACAGGTCTTGAAGTAAAGATGCCCTAGTTAGCATCCCATAACTGCTCTGTGATAATAAAGTGGTCATATTTACCAGCCACTGCTTCCCAAATGGGGGAATGCTACAGTCTCCTGTGGTCACAAGAGATCACTTCAAGTTATTTTTAGGAAGAGAGAGAATATGCTTTATATTATTATAAYAGAGAATTTGCATAATTCAAACTTCTAATATATGGCATAAATTCAGGAGTCAAGTTTGCCATAAAAAAACCCCAAAATACTTTTATTATCTGCTGAATTTTACAGGTTCTCAAGTGACTTCTCAAATTATTTCCCAGCAGACATGCTCAGACACCTGACATAGCTTGTAATAAAGGTCCTTTTATACTGACTTTATGATATTTCATTTGCACTTTCAATTCAACAYGTGTTTCCTGATATCTTAAATTAAAAAAAAAAAAACAACTTTGCTCTAGCTGTAGCTCTTCAGCTCTGCTGAATTTAAACTATCTGGAATTATTTAGCGTAAACATGCAGCTAAGGCAATGCAGTCCTTCTCTGCAAACTATGAACAAATGTGTAAAKTCATGACTAAAAATGTGAATAGAAAGTATGAATAATTCATTAAATACTCTTGAAGAATCATAAAACTGCAAACTCTTATATTTTCTTACTGTTCCAAAAACTTTTGGAATTGCTGCAGTAAAGATAATTGAACRTAACCTTGAATAAGGACTCTCTCTGTCCTTTCATCTTAGGTTTGAAATATTTTAGAAGAAAATAAATGACAGAGTCTGTGTCACAAATGAAAGAGCTTGAATCAATGAACCCCAAGATATGCAAGATCCAAAACTAGTTTTTGTAAAATGAGAATTCCTGATTCTTCACCTTCTGCTAGATTCAGCATTTACCAGTCTGAATTATATATACAGACTAGTATTTTTTTTTCCACTGACAAAGATATTTGACAACATTGATTCATGTGGCACTCAGTTTAGGTATTATAAGCTAAATTTAGAACATATTTATTTGTTTCAGACCACAGAACAGAGAAAACACTTTCAGGCAAGAGAAAAAACTTGTGTTTGCTTAATAGCAAATAAACATGCTTCAGGAAAGATGAATCTGAAAATATGAGAAAATAATTTAATCTCCTTTGCAGTATAAACYTAATAATGCATGTACTGTACAATATTCCAGCATGCAGCATACTGGAATCAATGTATATACCTTGAGGCACGTGCACTGGCCTCAACTTACCTCAAAAGAAGCCTTCCAAAAGATTCTCAGCTTTTAAGTTGGCTGAAACATAGTTTAGAAATTAATATAAATTTTAGAAATGTCTATGTTAGAAATATATGTGTTTAAATATACATGTAATATATATACATATATAAATATACATATACATACATATATATATATATATATATATATATGTTTCTGCTCCTAGATATGCAAAATTATTATTGTAAACTTCAGACACCTTTGTTAACTTTAACTTCTGTTACACAGAGATGTAACAATTGGAACATATTTTGCCATGATGAGTTTGTGGGCTTCTGTTTTTGCTATATTAAAGGAAATTTTATATTCTTACATATGATAGTGATATTAAAATGGATAGTATTTTTTTATTTCTTAGGTGTAAAGGTGAAAGATTGTATCATAGCACCCACTTGTAAAATAAATATTAACTCTGAAGTTAATGCATTTTTTCAATGTTTAAAATGAAAAAGTCATTTCTTGCTTTTATTTGAAGATAGTTTCCAATTTTATTCTGAGCAAGCAAGAGGTTTTATTTTAAATCAGTGTGAATATACATCTAAAATATTTTCTGAATATACTGAGCAGGTTAAACTGTCTGGTTCYGTGATAACAAAGGCAGTCAAAAGATCCTTTAGAATCATCACCCAAAGTGAATGCAACAAGCATAAGTTGAAAACCAAGAAAGGAAAGAAAGAAATTAAAAAACAGCATCAAAATGTGATATACCTTTGCCAAAAAGTCCAATTTGAAATGAAACAGCTTTGGTTAATTTTAATTACTTCTTATTATGCACAGATTTCAGCAACATAGATAGCCTTATCAACAACTCCTTCAACTTTTTTTATTCATCCTGAACATATTAATACCTGGCACTGTCAGATCATTGGGATGTAGCTTGGTTTGTGATGTGACAAGTAGATACTTTTCTGTATGCAGAGTACAATCATCTGTATTTAAAGATGGAAGGTCTGTTAGTGATCCCTCATTTTAAACTTYAGAAGCATCTTGAAGAATCCATGATTTCACAGCATCTTGTGTARCTTTTCTTTAGAAAATTCTTCTATTTCCACATAGGTTCTACAAGCCTTTGAAACATGGCAGAGGCAGAAATAGAGGAATAATAATAAAATCAAAATAATAATTTGATCCTGTAAAATGCGCTTCTAAAGAGACATGAGCAGAGGAAGAAGAGAAAACCTGTAGGAATACTTCCATCCCTCATGTTCATAGTCTGCCTGAGCATATCCCCTCACGTAACTTGTCTGCTGTTTCTTTCCACCAGTAGCTCAGACTGAGAAGATGGCTTCATGACTGGTTAGGCCAACCATGCAACTTGGAGGGCACTTATTTAAGAAAACATTTATAGTAACCTCATTTCTTTTGTTCTTTACAAGTACAGCACATAGAATTTTCAGACACYAAAAATAAAACGGCCAGTGCAGATCCAGTGTAAGGATTTGAACATGGTCATATTTCTTTCCTGCCCACTTCTGTATTGCCAAGKTTCCAGGAATTAGTTCATTTTCTCAATGTATTAATTGACCTGGAATTTTATCAAGAATGGGGTAAGAAAGCTGACTGTTGAGGAGTGAAACTATTTCAGTTGCTAGAGGATTTAAAGTACAGGAAAGTTTTACTCTCATCTACAAGGTTTTTTGTTTTTCTAATATCAGCATTTTTCAGCAAGAACTAAAGAGCATATGATTTTTTTTTCTACATCAGTAATTGAGGGACAGAATGAAAATATGATAGGGTGTATGCAGATAGAGAGAGAAACTATATTTTSGCTGTCTGAGTTGCAGGACACAGATCCCAGGTTATATTTCCATGAGGATTTAAGTAGTTGGTACTAAGAAGTCATGTATTCCAGCAGTTTTTTAAGTACAGAAGTATTGTAAGGAGAACACTGACACTCAAAGAATATTTGGACAGTGTTCTATAGAATATAGAAGAATTAAAATGAGGGATTTTTTTAAATTATTTTGAATGCTTTCCATACTGTTGCCTTTCTAGACAATACTAGCTAAACTAGTAAATCCTAATGAGAGTGCCTAATGCTTTTAATTGTCTAGGTTGAAAATGGCAACTTTAAAGTTGTAAGGGGACCATAAACCAGCTGTTTCACTGCTGGCTGCAGTGTACACCTGTATTCCCCAGTGTCTATGGTAAATCACTGCTCTTAAATATRACTGCACTTAAAGCAAGTATTTTTCTGTGTCTTATTTAATAAAAGCCTCCATGAGGAACAGAAATATTTCCCTTGAGAAATTGTAATAGTAAAGTGAAATATATGTATGCTAACATGTATGTTAAATATTCATTTAATTTTTTGTTCYTGCTTAAGTCAGAAAGAAAACAATCAGGTGTGGAACTAAGTCCTGCCTTGCACACTCTCATAGGACTCTTCTGTTTAAGAGCATGGGTCACAGTTGGTTAAAACATGGGTGCAAAGAAACCTGACACCTTTGGATCCCTAAAGGCAGCAGAAAACATACMTGAGTGTGCAATTGTATGTGTATAAAAATACAGCTTATATATCCCCATGGAAAAAGATAGAGAAAGTAAATATAATAAGAAAATAAGGACAATAAGGGTAAGGCCAGGGATATTCCCCAAAAGACCTCACAAAGCAGAAGAACCAGCCAATGGTTCATGAATCAGAAAATTTTATTTCAAGGTCACAGAGTTGGGTTGCTCCCCTGTCTGCAGCTTGAGGGGAGCCTCCAGCTGTCTCTGGGACCATGGTGTGTTGGAGGCTGGGGCTGGAGGTGTTTCCTTGTCCTTAGGGTGATTGCTTTGTCAAAAGCTGCAGAAATCTCTCTGAGCAGCTCAGGCAGTGGACAGGACAGTGCCAYGGTCTGTTCCTGCACCTTGCCTTGCATCTTTTTCTTTCTTTCCAGCAGTCCTAGGCTGTGATAATATATTTTATCTACAGAGTCACTGCTAGAAAAAGATAAAATCATTAATCTTTATTAATACACACCCTATCCATATACTTACTAATCTGCATGAAATAACACTTAAATCTAAACCCATGATTTAGATTTGCTGTCATTAATTGATTTTTGGTTTTGTTAAACTCTAGCTCTATGTGAGTTCTGTTTATTTGCACCTACGTTCGTTAGTATTATCTTTTGTGCAATGTAAGTAGCAGGTTATAAGAAACAATCCATACAATGTATTTGTACCAACATTCTCCTTTCTTAATATGAGTTTTGCCAGCTGAATCCATTGTCCCTGTGGCAATTTAAACTGCACTGCTCAAAATTTAATACTGAGTTATTTTAACTTCAATAATATAAGTACGTATGAGAAATCACTTATTGTGATTGGTTTGTTCATGGCTTTGTTTTTAATAATGCAGACATTTGTTCCAGAAAACATCTTTCTGCCAATAAATCCAAACAAAGCAATTACCTACACTGTAATATAAATATGCAAAACAGCAATCCACACTCCTTTACACAGTCCTACAAGTCAGGCTAATAAACTGGGAAATTATGGGAAAGAGAAACTACTAATTGCAGCTGCTTTTATTTGCTGATTTTACAAATTGACTGGCTAATTCTTTGGATCTATTCCAGCAGAAGGTATTTTGAAATCTGCATTTGAATAGTAGTGTAAAAAGACAACTACGTATTTAGTAAACGTGTAGTCACTAAAAAGAAAGGTTGAAAAGCATCATGGGGTCTTGTGTGGTCRTTTTACTATATGATAAGAGTATTCAGAAACCCCACATGTAACAAATTAAAGACACAGAAATTTGCATCTCAAAACTAGCATACTATGACCTATGTCTCCTACATTTCTCATCCCTTTTCAGACACCAAGTCTTTCTTTTCTGTACCAAGACTCTTATCTCCATGTACCTTTCCTGTCTGCCCAGATATTCTGAGGCTGTATGAAAAAGGTTCACAGCAGTTCCCAAAGCTGTGAAACCACAACATGTGGTTGAAGTTGTGTAGTGCTGTAAAACAATGCAATCAATATTTTTTACATCAGTGACCAAAACTACAGGTGTACCTTTTTTGCCTCAAGTTGCTCTTGGTGGGACAAATACAGCAGGATGTTATAAACTGCTTGATGTTATGCTGTCCTCAGTAAAAAGTGGAGGACGTCTCTCACATTAACGTATGAAACTCTAAAACTGACAGAAAAAAAACTGCTCTCATATGTTTCATTGCAAGTAGCAGGCCAATGTCACTATGCCTCTGCATGCGAATCATCAGGCCAGTGCTGTAAGATGAAGACTAATCCAAAAGTCAGGATTATTAAATTCCACACACTTCTGGTGTACAGTGAGAATTTGAGTTGTTCAAACCAACCTGATCAAGAATGCTCTGCCTGTGATTTTTTTTTTTTTTTTCTRAAGGCTTACTTTTTTCACTTCATATTTTGAATGAACTGGAATCATAGATGTGTTCCATGGGTCTATCCAGCTTTTCTAGTTCAGAAATGTAAACTTTTATTGAGATACAGGTACATTCCAAAATTAGAGAAGACAGTAGAGGAAAATGAAATGTCAGATTTAACTATTTATTACTTAATAATAGATGCCATTTGCTGCCATTAATTTTCCAAGTGATTTTTCTTAGCAACTCCTTGACATAAAGGTGAAAATGRAGTATTACTTTTCTGTGAGATAAGCTGCTTCAAGGAGCGGGAAAGTTTTTGTTTACCTTGCCTTCCATAAACAGAGTTAATTCCTGTTAAGTCTCTTGAGCTTCTCACTAGACTGCAGGCCAAAATCTGTCTGATGAGAAAGCCGTGCTTAGGCTTAACAAACAYTTAAATCATACTATGTGTTTTATTCTTCACTTTGTAATATTTCTTATATTTCTTCTTGATATTTTCTTTTTTAATAATTGCTTTTTAATGCAGCATCTGAACTTGAATMACTGGAAAGCAAATATAATTATGGATACTTTAATCTTATAAAGATTATAAAATCTATATCACATTTGCATTTTTTCAACTTTCCTAAACTGTAGCACTTTCTTTTTTTTTCACAGAAAGTGTTGATTATGGGCCGGTGTTTGTACAAGAGCCAGATGATTTGATTTTTCCAACTGATTCTGAGGAAAAGAAGGTGTCACTGAATTGTCAAGCTCGTGGAAACCCTACTCCCACATACAGGTAACTGGTTTAATATTTTTTTAGTTTTCAGAATATTAGCCACTGCAATCCTACTTTAAAAATCAGTGCRTTTTGGTGAGAAACAACAGAAACAACTCCATGACATTAATGGTTTTCCTGATTGAATGTTTTTTTTCTGATTCTGAATAAGCAAGAAGTATAAGAAGTAGYGATTAAAGAAAAAGCAATATTTTAAATTTCAAATTATGTGCTCTGCATCTTATCTATCCATGTGGAGAGGGAGAGMCTCCTTCTGCCCAGTTTATTGACTTGTGTCTGTGACAGCTGACAAAAATGAAATATTTRATTGTTTGTTTGTTTGTTTTCTAAACATCTATAAATCTTCAAAATACTATCCCAATGTMTAGGGAAAACAGCAAAGTATATGAACATTAAATGACATGACTTTGCACTACAAGATACCGCAGCTAGCCAAATCTGGCGTTTTTTTCACTCACAAATCTACCATTTTATTTCTTTGCAACCATCACCAGTTGYTCATTTTCCCTTCCAGACCTGTATGCCCCAGTTATCTGTCATTCAGACAGGTTATGGCACAGCTGTGAGTCTCAGGGTGCAGATTATGGATGGTGCACACTTACAGGTGGTTACAGCCTGCTGCAGTCACCTCATCCATTTGCTGAATCTGTCCCTGCTTATATTTTATGCAAATTACAAGTGATGTAAGAGTGCTGCAGGGAACATATGGTTGGTTATTATTTTCCACRCACCATTCATCTTTTCTCATACAGTCATTCTTTAATTACAAAGGGAGCAAAAGGACTCTAATTGTGTTTTGCATTGGTGGCAATCAACAATTCTGCACTTTGCTGTTTGCCTTTTACCTTTATTTGACTTGTGGGTTCTTCAGGATTCTGGCTGAATTTTCCTTTGAGTTATTTGGATCACAACACTTCCATTCTATAACTTGAAGACATTTGGAAATAGTACCATCCTTAGATATTCCCACCACAACAGCAATACRCCTTTTTGCCACATATAAACTCATTAAATGGATCTGATCCATGACACRACCTACCCAAATAGAACAGGCATGACTAAAACATGTAGCATGGGATTAGTAATTAATATCCAGAAATTCTTCAAACTAGAATAGCATGAATCCCTCACTATGTGGAATAAAAGCTATGTTGTGCTCTTCTTTATTGGCATTCCTTGTATTACACACTGTGGATTTGTTCATTTAAAAAAACAAGGAAAAAGTGTATTATTTCCACACACTGTAAAAGTGCTATCAGTCCATTAAACATTGCACGTGACTGTGGTGAAAAGGCACAAATTCTCCCCCAATGGAAGAGAATCCATATTCAGTTCTCCCAAACAGCCTCATTATTCTTGCAGAATTTTTTTCTGCAGAGAACCTATGTCATCTTTCTTCATCCAACCATTTTTTTGCATTTTCCCAGTGGAATGCAATCAGCAAATACAGACTTTCAGCATATTTTAAAGGGTGACTGAAAGAGGATAGGGACTCTCTCTTTACAAGGAGCCAACAGGAGAGGGCAAGAGGCAGCAGGTTTCATACTCCTCAGTCATCACTGAAGGTTTTCTAGATGCAGATGAGCAAAGTGCTTGATTATCTCATATGGGATTCATTTGCCATGGAGCAAATGATCTTATAACTTCTCTTCCAACCTGGGTTATTTTATGATTTTATGACATCTATTTCTTCAGTTCTCCAGAGATGAATTGGTGTCAGCAGCCTCATAAATAMACTTACCTGACCATTGCTCATGCAAGGAGAGATATAACCTGAAAGGCCTTATTCAAACAGCACAGTTTAACTTCTCCTTATAWTGCTGCCACTTGTCTGCACAGCATTTGCAATGCACACTACCATTCAAAGCAAAATAGGTAAAATTTGCTCTCTGAGGAAGAAACTATTCTCCAGGACAAATGTAGAGGGAATTTAGCCTCCAACCATCTACRAAGTTTTGTGTATGACACTGCCCCAGCCACATTACCAAAGAACCTTTCCAGCTGCACAGGACAATAAAAATCTTTGTTTACATGTGCCCAGAGGCTTGTGCTGCTAAGAATTATTTTTCAGTGAAAACCAAAGCACAATAAAAATCCATTTATTTAAAGTTATATTAAAAGAACATTTAAATCACCAAAAAATTTCAAAGTTATCTCTGCCCTTTTTAAACCCATTTGTTTAGTCTATGTAATTTGTGACACAGTGTTCATAACCTGTTTGCAAATTCTTTTTTTTTTTGTTTGGACAGTGCTTTGTTTTAACAGAATGGAGAATGCTCACATCATTTCAGATGTTGTTTTTCCTTTCAAAGAATTTAGTTTACCCTTGTCCAAGCTCTACCTTAAAATAGCAATTTAAAATTTCTTGATTTTCAGTCATTAAGATATTTTGATGCATAGATTTAGGGAATAACTCCCTGAGATAAACTGACTGTGTTTGCTTGGCATTTCTGCAAATCACACTTTAGCATCACAAGTCAGGACCAGTACAATGAAGAAAATAACTGTGATCCCTTTGATGAGGAATACAGACATTCACAAACTTACTGTGGGATCTCACAGGTCACCAATATTACTGAGTTACAAGCAGGTGTTGAACTCCCTGAAATGCCACTTCACTACACGACTTTCACGATTGTGAAGCACTGCATGTATTATTTTGTTTTTTAACACACATAAGATGGGTAGTAATTTTTTTGTCAGTATCATTTCCTGTTAGAAAAGGCAGTTGAAAATAATTTTAAAACATTATTTTATGTCTGTCTAAACCAAATTACAGTATTTTGAAATGCTTTCTTCACAAAAAAAAAAAAAAAAAAAAAAAAAAAAAAAAAAGCATCTGATTTTTCCTAACAATCTATGACCTTGGAAGTAATGTATTTTGGGTTCTGTCCTTTCAGGTAAGTCAGGGTACCCAGGGAAAAACATCACCCAATTCTGTGTTACTTGTCCTATAACGTATGTAGATTATATAAGGGGAATACAATCACTCAGGATGGACCCCAGGTTATGGAGGCAGGCAGCCAGCCATCAAGATCCAAAGTTTTGGGGTAGAATTCAAGAACATATTTTTGCATTGAACTTAACCGAAGATGAAACTAAGGAAAAAAAACTAATTAAACTGAATTTTGTGACAATTCCCATTTGGAAATACTAAAACCTGTATTTCTTGCTTTTTCCCTACATAAATTTCCTTTCATTTCAAGATCAATTATTTTTGCTTTTTTTATTTCACATATATAGAGAAGGAAATATGTATAAAAAAAGTTAACTTTTGTTATGATTTCGTTCAAATTAGCAAATTATTAATCCACTGTTCACAGTTAAAAATTCCTTTCCTTTTCAGCTCTTCTGTATATGAATCTATTAAAAAATGCAGTTTTATTAACTACATTTTTTTAACTACATTTTTAACTACTTTTTTTAACTACTTTTTTTTTAACTACATTTAGGGAAACCCAAGTTTCCCCAATGTCCTTTAAAATATAAATGAGTTGTCAATGTTGTTTCATTTCTGGTATTAAATGAAGCAGAGGTGCTCTGCAATTTAAAGTCCAACTGTGGAAAGAAGGGACAAATAGTAGGTTCACAGTTCATCTAAATTCTGACAATTCTGACCTTTTGATTAAGAAATATTCAAGGCTACTGCAGCTGAATTCTGCTGTCTGTACCTCATTCACCATGAATGTTAACAAGACAGGGYGAATTGATAGTCATTTTACTTTGTTAAAGTTGCCTCTGGAGTCTAAATGTTGCCAAGTTCCTTCAGTCTTCSACGATCTCTGGCAAAGCTTACAAGTTCCTGGAAATTACCCAAGCCAACTTTGAAGTTGCAGAATGACAGCAAAAGAGTAATTAAACAAATATCTGGATATTATAATGACTGTACCATATCTGTTTACACTGCTTATCTCTTTTTTGCATTCTCCAAACAATTTCATGTTCTCTACACTTAGGCACAAAAGCAAATGTTAAAGTCTTCATATGTGGACGTTATTCTTTAATTGAGAAACTGCAAACACACACATATATAAGAGGTTATTCCAAACTGCTTTTCTATTGCAGCCAGTGGACCATTACWGAGCTTGTTGCTTCAATCTTTTGAGATTAATGAGAGTCTGAGGCTTTTTGGTAGACAATATCTGGGACAGGGGGGAGATCCAACCCATAAAACCACTTGCACAACTGAAAAGTTATGAGACTCTCAGGTTACTTCTGAAACCTCAGAAAAAATAAGTGTTTATTCAGAAATTATTCAAAACTTTGCCTCAGTAGGGATATTTTCTGTTCTCTACAGCCTGACATTTTCCATCTTATCTTTACTCCCAACTTTGACTTTACTGCTCAGGCTTCTTATTTCACTCTCAAACACCTCTCTAAGTCAGCATTCCCTCTTCAGACTGTTTATTTGATCCTAATTTCCATTTACCTAGTAGCTGCCAGGAATTGCCCATGGCCACCCACCAGCCAATTCCAGTCTTCTATTCTAGTCTTTGAATTTTGTGTCTACTGATTCAGCTGATATTATTTTGCCTTTGTCCACTGCCAAAACCCTATATTGCATAACAGCTGATGTACAGCAATCTACCTCCCTGTCCCTCACAGGTTTTGCTCTTCTTTCTTCTATATTTAAATAAGGTGTATCTGTTTTTTGGGCTGAGAAGATCAAATGCTGAAAGAATGGAAAAAAAGTTTCCTTGTTTTCATACAGTGCAGACTCAGCTCTGCTACCTCTAAGTTTAGCTGGGCCTAAGGCTTTAATAATAGAACATGAATTAAAACTTTGATTATCATAAGCACATATTTTTGACATAAAGGATGTGTTCGCTATGCAGTTTTCAAATCTTAAGCCTTCACGAAAATTAGGTTTCTTGGGGAAAAAAACAGGGAACAAAGAAGACATCATTATTTTCATTCAACACAGAGAATTCTGTGAACAGACAGAATTTGAACACATTCAAAAYAAAGAATACCCTTTTTCTTCAGAGGCTGAAGATCAGGTTTTGCTTGTGTTTTTTATTTGCTTGTGCTGTCGAATGCTTCCATTCAAGCTTTGTCAGAGTAATGTGTTCCCACACTGGGTATCTTTGAATAGTTGTTGAATATTCCTCATTACATTTGGAGCTGTCAGRTTCTATATGTTAACCTTGATACCTTTGTTTGGCTATAAAATGCTCAAGTCTTGTTTTTTCTTTTATTACTAAGGTGGCTTCGAAATGGAACTGAAATCGACATTGAAAGTGATTATCGTTTCAGTTTAATAGAAGGAAGTTTGATCATCAACAACCCCAGTGAAATGAAAGATTCTGGCCAGTATCAGTGTTTAACAACCAACATGTTTGGCAGTATTTTAAGCAGAGAGGCTGTTCTTCAGTTTGCATGTGAGTAACAGTTTCTATAATATTGATAAATAGGGCCTTTACATCACTTGATAAGGCACTAAATTGTAATTTGAAATACRTTATACAAATTACACTGACATTGCTGGGCTGGAATCTCAAAATTAGAAGTAAAATGCTTAGTGGAAAAGAGTGATTCTCTGTAGACTTGTTGCTGTTAAAACAGAACTATCAGGGAAAACAACTCTAGTACATGATCCCAAATGCTGTACTTTAATGGCCTACTTGAATACTCTGCAGTSATTTATTTCACTCATTGCTAGTTTCCTGAAACATTTATCATTTTGTCACACTCTGAGCAGGAAAAAAGAACTGTAAACTTAGGAATAGAATGGGGTAAAGTGCCTATATATCTCGGATAATCTGCACTTCTATGGTTTTTGGTTGTTTTTTAAATGCATATATGTTTATAAATATATATGGCTTATGTCCATGTTTTTGCATATATATCCAATRTACTTTCATACATTAAGAAACTGAGGGGTTTTTTATAGTTGTTAATGGAAACCAAAWATGTCTTAGCTTTTGAAATCATTCACTACAATAACCTTTTCAGAAGATATCAACAATTTCCAACAGCCCTCCAAATCTAATTTCCTTTCAACACTTTACAGGAAGACAGCCAATATAATTTCATTAGTTTATCTTGATAAATCCTATCACGAGTGGTTTTGAAGTGGAGGGAYGCAAAAAGAACTCCGTTTTAGTTTCTCAGATCCTTTTGAATGTAGTGCATTACCATGAAACACTAGGCAGATCTTTATAGAGCCACAGCTGGARYACRTCTGGTGATACTGAGAACTCAGCAGTTCTAGTGTGAGGTCTGATTCTCCCTTAATCTACACCTCCCTGGTCAAGTCAGACCTCTTAAATCTGTTACTTTAGTCTTATCTGCTGCACATTCTGTCAAGGTATTTTTTAGGAGATCATGGTACTATCCACCTACTWCTGAGCTGGGAGGAATAAGGATTTTTGTCAAGCTTTGCTCATTCCAGGGCAACATGTTTGAAACTCTAAGCATTGCACGGGTGCTCTTATCATCAGCCTTAGATGTAGCTTCTGAGAAAATTCTGCTGCATTTTTTCTTTTAGACAAAAAAAACTGTTCTGCAAAAAATCTCTTGGTTAGAGAACCCAACAATTGGTAAATATACATAGCTCCAGGAGTCTGAAGCTCAGATTTCTCTTCCCATTTAAAAAATGAGGCTAATAGGTGTTGGTTATACTTCTAATTTCAATCTGTATTTGTAGCTCAACTTTTAAGTCGCGTGACATTTTCTCTTCCACCCTTGATTTAATGCATATTCAATTCCCTCATCTTAAATAGCTGGTGTTCACGTTGAAAAAATATTTGCCATATGCAGCAAAAAATATTTGCCATTATGCAGAAAAAAAAAGTTTAATATTGTTTAAATTAATTAATGCTTAATGATGTCCCCACACTGTAAACTCACACTAACATATCAGAAGCTTGTATCACTGAAAAGCTGCTGTAAATCAGATCTTAGGGCCATGTTTTCCCTGGCCTCATCACTTTTATAGTGAAGTATTTCTTGTTAACAGTTGGCCAGCATGTCTCCAGTTACTTTCAGTAAAACAGAAAGTAACACTTTGAAAAAGATTTTTTTAAGGAAAGGTCTTAACCTTAAAGTAATTAAAGTAATTGGTGCTCTGTAGTTTTACTGGGCTCTAATGGCTTGAAGGGTAATCTATAATCCCAAGGATAAACCAAGGCRTTTCTGACTGAGATATAGAGCTGCACATAAGGGCATTCACTTTCACAGGAAAAAAAACCCAAAAAATTAAGTTCATGGTTTTCTTTAAATGCATGGGTTGTACCTCTGTGGAAAACARTTACATCCTTGCAAGCTGAAAGTTCTTTTTCTAATTGAAAAGAGAAATGGCATGCATCTCAAAAGGGAACAGGGACCATTAACCAARGCCTTTGACAAAATCTCACAAAGCATGTATGCTAAGGTGCCTATGCAAAAATATCATGAAACCTGAAAAAGAAGAGAGTGTTTATCGCATTGACTCTAAGTTGTCTCACAGTTCCATGGCCAAAAGCCCAGTTGCTATGGTTATTATCATGTAGTTCAGCATTTCCAATATAAATGTTCATGCACTGTATCATTTGCATATGTGTGCACAGTCAAAACAGGACTTTGAAGTATGTATACAATATCTTTGGATTTGAAAGAGAAAGWGATATAAAGTAAACTTTACTCTATATATGTTGAGAGATATAACACTTGAAAGAACCCACTCTATCACTGGTTATTTTTATGGAGCAAAATGGGAAGACCAGTTATGTGCAGTTAAAGGTCTGTTTGAAATTTTAAACTACCAYAGCAAATATTTATGAAGATTTAAACTCAATAAAAGTTCTCTTTTTTTGCTTCTTTGCATTTCTTATGATTGCTCATGCCCAAGGTCATGCTGGTTTATGACATTTTAGGAAAAAAAAAAATAAAAGAAAAAGTATCAAATGCTGCAAATAAATCTAAAAGCATATTTTTCCAATAAAAAACAAAACCTGATGCAAAACTAAAAAAAAATAGATTTCAGCTTACCTAAAGCTGTTTAGCACTGCTTTAGTGCTAAACAACTACATGGTTTTGTATGTGGTTCCATAGCTTCTCTTTGGGACAGTGTCCTATAAYTTTGGCTATAACAGCAGTGGATGTATTTTTTGCTTACTTTTGCCACATGCACAATTTCTATATTCCATTAGGTCACAAAACAAAATTGCTTTCCTTTATCAGTGTATTATTCAGCCTTTCACAAGCCTACCATTTCAGTGATATTTACAGCCTGAGCTACAAACCTAAACAAGTGGTAGGGGAAAACAACTTCTCACCTGTCATTTAAGGAACTCCTCACTGCAATTTTATTAATCCAATTGTCACTGGCTTCATTGCATTATTTCCTTATTTCTTTCATGAAATTAGTTTTCTCCTTTAATCTGCAGAGAAGGGCATTGATTAGATACAATTTAAATGTCCCTTTCCTATGGATGATCTATGTGACTGTCYGGTTGTGTACAAAATAAGAAGTCACACATGATGCAGACACACAAATTGATAATTTTCTGAGAAGACAGCCTGAGCACTGCCCATTCCATCACAGCACACTTCTGCCAGCCTTTTAATTAACTTCACCCACTATGATATGAGCTTAATGATCTATRTTTCTTTTTTGCCATCATGCTCCCTATACACCTTGTTTGGTATATTTCATGATTTCCTAGCATTAATTGTTAAAGAGTTGATTTATTTAAACCACCTAGACATGAGAAAAAACCTTTGATTCTCATTTTGATTTCAGAAGATGCAGAATTACAAAATGACATTATAATATCAACAATTTTTTCTAAGTCGTATCAAACAGTTTTAGATACTATAAAAAAAGGGTACCACTCTGAAGCGAGAAAAGAAATCAAAATGTAACTAGTTATACATTCATTTTCAAAAATGCCCCTGATTATCCTGTAATACTCTCAAATTTGGCACTGCTTTGCTCTGAAAGCATCAGTGTGAAGAACGTTACTATGCTGGTTAAGAATAGCTACAGCTAAAACAGTGACTTGTACTACAGATCTTTAGGATTATATTTTTTTTTCATTATCTCAACAAGATCTCTTTCAAAAATATGTGCTTCAAAGATGCCTGAAAACCATGTGTAAATGCCAGGAAAAGTAACTTGCAGGAAGAACTGGTTGCATTTTATTAATAAATAATTTATTAATTGAAGAGTATTATTCAGAGAATCTGCAATGCATGTGAATTTGTGTCACACTCTACTAWGAGTTTCAGCTGATGTTTCCAACCACATAAGTAATCTAAACCACATATCTAATTTATAAGTCTACAAATCTAGCACTTTCTTTTGTTAAGAGAATCAGGGGGAAAAAATTAAACTGAAAGACATATATTTTTTCATATTAAAATGTTGAAAAAAAGTTTTCAGTTACATTAGAAGTTTGCAAAATGAAATTATTTGAATTTTGGCTGTAATGATACTTACTTAGTTGTTTATAGAAATATTCATCCTATAKAACTAAGTTCAATGGTGCAAAATGCTAAGAACTTTGGCTCTAGCCTAAAAAAGCATTTCATCTTAAAATATCTGCATAATCCTTTTGAAGTTGATGTACATTCTTAAAATTCAGCACATGCTTAAACTCTTTGTTGTTAAACATGAGGCTTCCTCCTGCAAGGTTTGAAACAATCTGCATGGATTTGTTGGTAGTGTCATCATGACAGGCACATAATAGGTTTAATTAAGCCTTTTGTCATTCATTTCTTGATCCTTTCTTCTTAAAGTGAATAAATGCCTTAGAATAATACAGTTTATGACTCAAAAATGGGCAGAACTCATTACAACTCCCTTTAAGCAGCGTTTCTCAAAGGTCTCCTGTTGGAAAAGATAGATCTGAGTTGTCCATTGTGGCTGTGGTGAATCTTCAATGAAAATTCACRTTCAATCTTGCTTTACATAAGTGTATCCAAATCTGAATGCAAGCATGGAGAAATAAATAAAATAAGCAGGTCACCTAAAACTATGAAGACAGCATCCCCTCTTTTTGAAAGAATGGGAAAATTAATGAATCTTTATCTGTGGTTCAAATTTCCAAACATATCATTTAATATTGTTTAATAACTTCTGGGAGTTCGGCTTCATTCAGGAATGGTATCCAGTGAAAGCTCTGGGAAGTACCCTGCTTGTCTCCTGGAARTACCCTTCTGCAGTATGTCTTCAGAAACGATCTCCTGACCCCACCAACAGACTTGTCTGTAATAGCATGAGATCAGCTCTGGTGTACTTCCTGTGTATTTTTGTCCCTTCAGTTCTGCTTTTGAAATTGTCTGAAAATTACAGTCAATTTCCATTTTTCCATTAGATCACTGTAAAGAGCAGAGGAAACCCAACCTTATCCCATCTACAAAAGCAGGTGCTACCTTTCATGAAAACAAGAAGAGA